TAGCAAAATGGGTTTATTCAGGAAGAGTAGAGAAATGCAATCGGAGACAACCCAGGTTCAGGCAAAACGAGAGGTGAATCCCTAAAACAAAGGAGAGGTCCATTCTTCGAGAGGAAGGCGGAATTTGGGAGCATTGGTATAACAAGAAGTCTATTGGAATAAACTGGGAGCGCAAAATATACAGGCTTCTCATTGGCTGAGCTGGGACAGTTTCTCATTGGCTGCATTCTGCCTGCCTCTCATTGGCTGGGCTAGGACTGTCTCTCATTGGCTGAGCAGGGACAGCTTCTCATTGGCTGTGTTATGCCTGCCTCTCATTGGCTGGTCTCTTGCAGGGGGTGGAGGGGGGACCCTCCTTCCTCCTACAGGCGCAGCGAAGTAGTAAGTAACTAAAGTAGTATCCAGGTGCAAGGTGCCTCTCTTCCCATTGGGTGGGTAGCAAGTGGTAGAGTGTGAGGGCTCCCCCTGCTGGCCTCCCGACTCCATTCTGAAGGAAATTTCCTTTCATTCATTTTCACAGAACCAACTACTGGATACATATATACGTACAATGTAGACGAATCTCCAGGGAATTCTGCTGAGTAGAAAAAGCCAGTTCGGAAAGGTCAGAGACTATTTGTTTCTATGTATATAACTTCGAAAAAAAAATAGCTTTAAAAAAAAATGACACACTTTAGAATTTGAGGACCAATGAGCGGATGCTAGGGTTTAGGGGATGAGGGGTAGGGGTGGGGATAGGGCTCCATGGGGGTTCTTTTGGTAACGGAGGGCTCAATATCTTGACTGTGGCAATATCACACATGTGACAAAGTTGTACTGAACTAAACACAACACGAAAACGAGTATAAGGAAAACAAGTAATCTGAAGAGAACTGGTGGGTTGCGTTAATGTCATACCTTGGGTGTAAATCCCAACTCTAGTTCTTTTTTTTTTTTTTTTAAGATTTTATTTATTTGGGAGAGAGGAGAGAGGGAGCGAGCACGAGTGGGGGAAGCAGCAGAGGGAGAGGGACAAGCTGACTCCCTGCCGAGTGGGGAGCCCAAGGCAGGGCTCCATCCCAGGACCCTGAGATCATGACCTGAGCGGAAGGCAGAGGTTAACCGACTGAGCCACCCAGGCATCCCTCCGCTACTCCAGTTCTGCAAAATGTTCCCATGGGGGAAACTGGGTAAAAGGCACAAGACACCCTTCTGCATTACTCCTTACAACTTTATCTTAGTCATTTGAGCTGCTTGTTTCACCGCCTGCTGGCTGTCTGAAAACCACCGTTGTCCGTTCTTTGAAGTCTCTACCCACTGTCTTGAGCGCTCTAGAACGCAGGAGAGCAGCTGAGATGGAAAGGGAAGGGTGGCTGGCGCTCGGACTTGGGGTGTGGGCCCAAGCAGTGAGGAAGCCTCAGTTAACAGCTCTACAGTACTCTCAGCTCCTTCTGGGACAATTTGAATAGTGTGAAATTAGTGTTGGTCCTGGTGAGCCGGATAGGAATGGGTGTCATTATTCTTCGGCCCCTGTGGCGTGACTTGCTTGTGTGTGAGGCCACTCAGAGCCCTTGTCTGCAGAAGTCCCAGGCCCTTGCGACTGGCCTGGTCGTGGTGAGGTCTGTGTGTCCTTGGCATTTCCGTTGTGAGCAGGGGCGCCTGGAGGTGGCCGGCTGGTGGGCGGGGCTTTCAGATGTGGTGTAGAAATGGCCAGTCTCCCTTCCAGTCTGTGCCATTCATGAGGTGTTACCTTGACAAATATGTCTTCGGTATTCAATTTGCCAGTTCATGGGCAGCCTCTTGGAAATGGAAGAAAAAGTCCCTAATCTGCCCGAGATCATCAGGCCCCGGGTGGGCACTGCTCCAGAGATGCTCAAGCACTGAGCTCGCGGGTGCTGGAGGCCTGTCCAGGGCACCGGCCGGGCAGCGCGGGTCAGCCTGCAGTGTTGGCTGGGCCAGGCCCTGCAGTCTCAGCTAGTGACTGACTGAATGAGTCATTTTCCTCCCTGAGCCAGGATCTCCTGGCTTTCCCCAGTTACTAGCGAGCTCCCGGTACCCAGAGGGTCCCAGAAAAAACGCCCCAGGTAAGGGGCTGGAGAGATGGAGGGACTGCAGCAGACATGGCCCAGCCCCCTTTTCCTGACACCCCCACCCCCACCCCCACCCCTCCCGGACCTGGTTCCTCCTGTTATTTCTCTCCAGTGGCTCTGGAGCTGGGGGTAGGGCTACTCTGGACAGACCTGGGCTCCTCCACCGCAGTCACTCAAAACCACCCGCTGCATCCCGCCGAGGCCAGCCGGAAAAAAGATTTCCTCTCGGCCTGGCAACAGCCTGCAGCCAATGGAAGGCCGCCTCCACCATCACCTGCGGCCAATGAGAGACCACCTCCAGCTCATTATTCCTCCAGTGAACGTTCGTGCAAAGCTCTTCCCAACTCCCCCCTTCTTCTGGAAGTGGGTACTCTCCTCTGTTTCGCGGGGTTTGCCCACGATGCGCAGAATTGGCTTGCCACCATGGCAGTTTGTCTGCTCTTTCCAGAATAAGCCCTTCTGCGGCTGCATAACCTCTGCTGTTTACTTGTTAAGGTTGACAAGAGGTTTCCTGCGGGACAGAGCGGTTTAATAAGTAACAGGGATGTCCCCGGTGACGCACCACCCCACTGGCCCTAGGAGGAAAGAACGTTGGGCGGAGTTGGGGGCAGCCTTCCCGGAACGGGGCGGGGAGGGGGCGGCGGCGGCGCGGTGACCCGGGCTCAGCACGCAGACCTAGGTCCGAAATCGACGCTGCCGGTGCCGTTGCGCCGGTGAGTGATCCACGCCGGGCTTCGGGGTTCCGCTTTCGGGAACCATGCTTTCGTGTCACCTGCTGGGGAGGTGACTCAGCCGTTGGCTGGGAAGGATGTGCGGGGAGCAGGGTGCGCGGGGAGGGTGGGGGAAGGTGTAGGGAGGGGAGTACACGGCGAGGGCGTCCGGGGAAGGTGCGCCGGGAGCAGGGCGCGCGGGAGGAGCCGCGTGCGGGCAGGATGCGCCATCCCGGAGGATGCTCAGAGAGCGCTCAGAGGGTGCGTGGGGAGAATGCTCTGGGAGAGGGGGTGGGGGGTGCATTTGAGAGCAGGGTGCACAGGGAGAGCGCTCAGAGGGTACGGGCGGGGGGAGAAGGATGCGCTTCCCGACCCGGTCACAGCCGCCTCGCTCCGGGACCCCCGGCCGCCGGCGAGCGCAGGCGCTGTGACCTCTGGTGGTGGTGGGCAGAGTGGGGACTGTCTTCTCCGCAGCCCAAACCAGAGAACACCTAGAACAACCCCCCCTTTTCTTTGGGGGAGAGGTAAGTAAAGTTACTTTTCGGAGGATGATTTTTACTCGTAAAAAACAAAATTCCACTGAGTAAGCTTGAGGATCCCATTGGCTTTATTTGGTCACTCAGCAATGCGGCAGCATCCCATCCAGCAAGCAGAAAGGAGCTGCGGGGACCTGTACAAAGGGAAGACTTTTACAGGCAGAAGGAGGGGTGGGGGGTGAGGGAGCCTGATGGTGAGGGGTTAGGGACCCGCCGGGACCAGACAAAAGTTACTGTAAAAGGAAAGGATTGTTCCGGCAAGGTCATCTTCTTTTGGGGGAAGGGCAAGAGTCTCTCCCTATCGTGAGCAGGTGATTGCAGATGGACCGGTTAAAAGTCAAATTTCTGAGAGGCTAATGGGTTAGCCTCGTCTCGCATGATAAACTTTTATTAATTGCTCCTCTGGTGAATCAGTGGCTTTCCTTCTGTTCTTTCTGAACTTCTGACAGTTCTAACCCATTAGCCTCTCAGAAATTTGCAAACAGGGGGCGCTCAAACCAGAACATGGGAGGCTTTCCAGGGATATATGGTTATAAAGCAGCAGGAAGGCACCCACTGTTCTTCACAGGGCTTGGCTTCAAAGTTAGAATCTTCTTAAATGGTAGGGAATTGGTCCCCGGTTACCTCATACCCATCTCGGCGAAACTGTAAGTTTCACTCTCATTTTCCAGAGGCATAAGGAAGAAGTGGCTGGGGTCAAGTTAGTCTTGCAAAAAAAACAACTTCATGTGACTAAACTTATCTTCTGCTTGGATTTTTTTAAGGGTGGTCTCCCATTTGGTTTTGATTGAACGGATATTAAGTCTCGGTTTGCTGTCGTGGGGCAAGTGAATCCATTTTTTCTTTTCTTTCTTTTTCTTTCTTTCTTTCTTTCTTTCTTTCTTTCTTTCTTTCTTTCTTTCTTTCTTTCTTTCTTTCTTTCTTTCTTCTTTCTTTCTTTCTTTCCTTCCTTCCTTCCTTCCTTCCTTCCTTCCTTCCTTCCTTCCTTCCTTCCTTCTTCCTTCTTTCTTCTTTCTTTCTTTCTTTCTTTCTTTCTTTCTTTCTTTCTTTCTTTCTTTCTTCTTTCTTTCTTTCTTTTTTTCTTTCTTTCTTTCTCTCTCTCTCTCTCCTTCTTTCCCTCTTTCTTCTTTTCTTTCTCAAACCTTGAGAGCCCCCGTGGATGAAAGCATGCATTGAACCAACACTGAACAAGTGTTACAGTATGAATACTGACATCCGTTTGTCCAGCAGGTGTGAAGAGAAACCACAGTCAAAAGTTATAGGGCAGAGATAGAATTGGCACGGGGAGTGGGTCCTTTTACAATTTGTGTCTCTCGTAAACTGTCCAGTGACTTGGAAGCGCCCACAGGGGGGGCGTCGTGCAGTCTCAGAGGCTGTCCACAGGTCTGTCCCCCTTCCAGGTTAAGGCTTGGCCGGGTGACCTGCCAGATGACTCAAGGTCGCTGGTGGCAGTCTTCCTGGCCAACTTGGAACCGGTGACCCATTCCAGAGCTCAGCCGTGCACCAGGCTGCTCCCTTCAACGGGGAGTGACCTAGAAACGCAAACATCCGGAGAGCAGGGCTACTTTTAAGGCCACTGAGGCAGTCTTCAGGCTGCGCGGTGTCCTCCCCTCCCCAGGCGCTCCCCCACCGCCCTCCCCCCTGCGCTTCCTTATGCCTTGTCTGTCCTCCACCCTGCCCAGCCCTGCCCTGCCCTGCCCCTCTGACTCCGTGACCCTCCTAAATCTAGAGATTTCGGGTTCCTTTCATTGGCTCTGAGCTTGGCTTTTGAAGGATTAGTGATTTCAGAGAACTGAGAGGAAGTCTAAACCTTAAACCCTTAAAAAGGTTTTCACACGCTGCCCCGCCCTTCCCGGCTGCAGTCCTGTGTCCCACCTTTCTCTGAGTCACGCCTCCAGCCTGCCCCAGACTCCCCGAGGCTCAGCCAGTCTGCCCTTTTCCTCCCCCTTTTGGAGGCCAGACTTCTGGCTCTTTTCACGTAAGTTTCATGATCCCACAAATCACATTCTTAGCTCCAGGGCTTTCCACCCTGGTGGACACCAAGTAACATTTTAGTTATAAATAATAAATAAGCTTTTTACATGGGCTTTTGTCCAAGAGGAGTTGGTTATCTTTGCTGATCATGAAATTAATACAAATGCATTGTTAAGAAATCAAAACTCGGGGCACCTGGCTGGCTCTGTCTGTGGAAAGTGTGCTTCTCGATCTCGGGCGCAGGGGTTCAAGCCCCACGTTGGGTGTAGAGATGGCTTAAATAAATAAAACTTAATAAAAAGAAAGCCACCAATATAAAAACCAAGTGAAACTTGCAGCTTTTCCTACTCCCTAAAGATAAACGTTGATCATTTTCCTCCCTCTCTTTCTCCCATACACACACACACACACACACACACACTCTCTCTCTCTCTCTCTCTCTCTCTCTCTCTCTCACACATATTTTCTTTTGAACTATGTTCATTCAAAAAAGTTTTATAGGGGCACTTGGGTGGCTCAGTTGGTTGAGCGTCTGCCTCGGGCTTAGATCATGATCCCAGCGTCCTGGGATTGAGCCCAAGTCCTGGCATTGAACCATGTCTGGCTCCCCGCTGAACGGGGCGTCGGCTTCTCTCTCTGCCCCTCCCCCTGCACACACACTCTCTCTCTCTCAAATAAATAAAACCTTTAAAAAAAAAAAAAGGTTTTATAAACATTTATACACCAAACTGTTTACACTGAATAGCCCACCTATCTGATTTTTAGTTTAATGGGTTAAAACTAAAAACAACCCCCAGAAAACCGCAATCAACTATGGGGTTTTTTACAAGTTGGATCGGGCAACAGGTGAATGGGGAGCCCCGGGTGCTCACAGCAAGGGCTCCTCCCTAAGAGCCTGAGAGCCAGAACCAAGCCCACATTTCTCTGGGAGGCTGAACCTCTGGGGCAGGAATCTAGGGACACCCTCCCATTGTTTAGAGAAGCACATGGGGTCCTGGGGAGGTAAGAGGAGACTCATCTTGGGGAAGCGGACTTACCCTTTCCTCCGTGTGAAGTTTGAGGGTCGCTGTACAATGTCAGAAGGAATGCTGCTTAAAATAGCCTCCGGGCTGATGTCCTCCTTGGGTGCCGGTCCCACCTCACCCTCACCTGCCAAGCTGTTGGCTGGGCTGTAGGAGAGCTGCCTGTTCTCCGCAGAAGCTCCATCCCTCGGGACAAAGGGACACCACGTGTCACAACCGTCTTCCAGTGCTGACCGTGCTCAAAGATCAGGCTTTTGAAAGACAGCTTTGAGTAAGTGTTTCCTTCTACAGTGACAGGACGTGGCCCTGGTCAGACCCCCTTGCTCCCTTGATGTCCCTCTCATGTCCTGGGCTCCCCTCACTTGTTGGTTGGGGGCATCTGCCTTAGACCCCGAGTTCCCACCCGCCCTGTTTTCCCCAAGTGAGCCTTATCTCTCACTTTTCAAACCCGCTTCGCGAAGACACCTCAAGCCTGATTTCCCCCCTGGGGCGATGCCCACAACCACCTTGTGCTGACTCATAGCGTCTCCAATGAAACGGCCCTCCTTAGCCCCATGCCTAGTGGATGACACTCTTCCCTATCATTTAGCTAGACACGGGCATCCCTGCCAGCCTCATCCTAATACCACCTTCCAGTCAGTCCTTAGGATTTCATCTCTGGGATCCAGAACGTACCCCACTTTTCTGTTCCTAGCACATCTCTGCCCAGGCTCTGTGTCCCTCTAACTGCGCTGGAATCATGTGTTGGGGAGAAAAATGTTTATCCTGTTAGGTGCAAGTCTTGGGGGACTGCAAATTAAAGTGACAAAAGAGAATAGCAAGAGAGAAGACGGATTTTTATTTATGTCTACAAAGGGAGTTAACAAAAATGTGGCTCCGGGAGGTGGTGAGAATTTGGGGGCTTATTTACCGTCTTAATAGGGCATGGGGGGCACAGAGGGACACTTCTGGGAGAAAAATGGCTCCTGGGGGAATGCAGAAAGGGCACTTGGGGAAACAAAGGACTTTGGAAAGATGAATGATTTCTTAGGAAAACAGATAGGATAGTAACAGTGTCTATTTGGATTTTTCTCAGAGAAGGGATTACAGTTGCTCCCAAGGACATGATACTTAACAATCGAGTTCTTTTAGGAGGCTCTACCTGTAGGCACACAAGGGATTTCAGGAGCTCAAATCTGTCATTCCCTACCTCAACCTTTCAGAGGCCCCCAGTCACTTCCAGGTGCTGCTCAAATTTAATGGACACACTGCCTGAGCACTTACTTGGCCTTTGACCTTTCCCCCAAGGTCAGTGACTGATGCAGGTCATGCTTAGCACTTTCTGGCA